GAGGGCAGATTGCAGTCGCTGGGGCAGAGGGGCAGGAGGGCAGATTGCAGTCGCTGGGGCAGAGGGGCAGGAGGGCAGATTGCAGTCGCTGGGGCCGTCTCCCCCGCTGGGTTACTCAGGCTGCTTGTGCTAGTGGCACGAGCAGTTTTGACGTCAGAGAAGCCAACCCAGAGAGCTGAGTCAGAAAACCAGAGGCTGTGACGCCCAGGACCGGGGAGGGGGCAGCGGGAGGGGACGGGATGGGAAATGATTCATGGCTTCAGCTGGGCCCTTTTTTTCCGTGTTTGTTTATTTTTAGGTGTATTTTTTTCTGCGTTCCGCTCCAGTCTTCCTTCCACTGCTCCGGAGCTTCCTGCGCGGAGGCGTGGGAGGCTCTGTCCACACTGGGGGACAGTCCAGTTCAGGCAGCCAGCAGGGCAGGATGAGGAAGGGCACCAGTGGCCCCCCGCCCTCATGCCACCAGAAACTCTCCCAGGGCTTCAGGGAGAAGCTGGGAAGCAGGCTTAGAAGTAGACTCCACGGCCAGGGCCAGGGTCAGTGATCCTCAGCCCCTGTGATCTGAAAGGACTGCAGAGGTGTGGGACACTGTGAGCGAGCAGACTGGAGGAGCACGCTTCGGAGAGGTACGGTTGTCTCTCAGTTACAGAAGGAGCCCCCATGTGGAGGGGCAGTGCAGCCTGAGAGCCAGAGGGCTGTCCCGGCCGTCACCTGTGTTCATGTGCGCTGAGACGGCCCCAGCTGTGTCTCCTGGGTCTCACCAGGGGGCTCCTTGGCAGATGTGCGTGTACACACACACACACTCACACACACACTCACACATCTGCTGCACGAGGATGTTTATGGGCAGGGAGTCTGGAGCCGAGCGGCGTGCGCGGGTGAAAGGGGCATTGTGCCGGGGCAGCAGGGTGCCTGGCGCTGTCAGTGTGTTCCTCAGAGCGCAGCGGTGGTGCTGTGAGCAGGTCCTAGCTGGGCCCCTCGGGACCTACAGGGGTGGAAAGGCAGATGATCGCCAGAGGGGCCCCCGAACACCCTCTGCATCTGGCCGCAGACATAAGCGTTCCCTATTTTGGGAAAATGTTCAAGTCTGGTTCCGGAAACGCGGGCCGGCGGCCCACCGGGAGGGGAGTCGGGGTGAGCCTGCTGGAGCAGGGATTGTGAGCCGGGAAGGTGGCGGGGCTGGGGGACGCGCTCTGGCGCAGGGGGGCAGGCGAGGGGCCCGGGGGAGCCCCGCGGGTCTGGACGGGGCGGTGCTTGTGCGTCTCCTGCGTGCACGCGGCCGTGAGCGCGCAAGGGAGGGGGGGTGGCGGCAAGCTTATTGCATCCAGATGTGGTGCGGAGAGCGCTGCCAGCGGACTGTTGTGATGGTGACGAAAGCGTTTGACACAGAGTCTGGCTGTGTGAAAACAAACACCCCTCCCCCTTCCTGATGGAATAACTGTCCAGCTTAGTCT